GGTGAAAGGGATACGGCCTTGTAAAACATGTCCGGTCCTGCTTATTCCACCATACAAATAATGATAACATTCCGATTAACAATTATGGTAAACATAACTGTTTAAGTGTCACAAAATACCAATTTCATCCCAATCAATTTGAGAAAACGAGGTTGAAACAACTCATGAAATGTAACACAGAGAGCCAACATGGATACCCGAAGAGTCATAGCAAATACAACTTTTTCAATTAAATTCAATAATTTACGTAAGACAGGACAAATGAAGGTGTCCACTTTACGGTTGACTGGAATGCAACAAAACTACAAAATGTGATAAGTAAACGGAGGAAATTACACGTTATTAAATATAAAAACAATAAGTAGAAAATTGTAAAAGCTATGAAACTGGATATAAGGATATTGTAAATGAAGACAGTAGAAATTACCTTTCTGCACTGAATTTAAGGTTGTATTCCCCTCCACTTTGTATGATTGGATCATAGCAGGCTTCTAAACTCTCCAAATCAAGACCACATGTAAATTTTCTGTTTTTCAACGAATCCTGGGCTCCATTAGATAACTTTTCATGTTTGACCTTCTGCAAGAAACAATAGTTAAGCATGTTTTATGGCTTGTACCAAATAGATAAAAGCATCAAACTTGCCTTCTCCTCATCTATGACATCCATTATTTGTTCTTTCAGGTACTTGGTAAATACTGTACAAGTAACTTCACTTGCTTTCTTTATTGAATCTACTTCTGCAATATCCTTGACTGCAAAAAGATCACTAAACACACTCGAGACATCGACAAAATTAAAATCTTTAGGCTTCATCGCTGCAACAAATAATTTTGCAAAATCGGAACCAAATTTGTCTCTGACGAAATGACCTATATTTTTCCCCTACCAATAAGACCAGCAGTAAATAAACAAACCTCCTTGCTCTTTGAAATAGCATCAATGAGTTTGTCTATGGATGCTTTATCTTTGTCAGTCTGGAATATTCATCAAATGAAAAAAATTACCGGGTCTCGCGTCAGGAGCTTGATCCGGATATCCTCGACTACAAGGCTTTCGAGTGGTTTAAGGAATTCTATTTTTTTTTTACTGCTCAATATGTAAAGAGCTTGAGAGCAGAATACAACGGCGGTATCCTGCAATTCATAACCGAAAAGCCAAAGCTGAAAGTATTAGTAATTAGTCTTCATCTTACATGTAAGGAAACAGTTTTGCTATATACAACGTCTTCTTTTCCATTAATTATTACGATCGCATCAACAGTCTTGAGGTTAGTTTCATCATCCTGTAATTGCACATCAATGTAAATAGATACTAATAACCTTCCAAAAATTATAAAGACGAGTGACTCTACGCTCAAAAGCCTCATCATCAAGCTTGAGGGCGCACATCACGGCCGATTAAATGGTTGAATCGACCGCGTGTAGGGGAAAAGCATAAGGGGACAAGGATATCAAACAATAATTAATAGTTATTTCATACATTGCATACATATTCTCTATAAAGAGAAAAATCCTTTCAAAAATTCTTTTATAACATTTTTTAGCCAAAACATTGGATGTTGATGGGCCTCTAATAAGTTGGTCTTGCCTAAATACTGAATTTGGAAAAAAATTTTTCAAGTATAGATAAATTGATATAAAAAAATAAACCCGAGAAATCATGGCCGGAATCTATAATAAGCCAGACATTGCTAGGCCTAATAGCCATGCCATACACTTACAATTTACCGTCAATTGATCTGTATTAAAGTGAACGCTCTAGTTTACTTTGATGGGCTCTACCTGGTACTTTAGATTCAAGTAAACATAATATTGAAAATGTAAGAATGCTCATTGTCTGACTGGATATATTTGTAGGACTCCCTCTATATGTTAATGCCATGGACATAAAATCTTTTAAATTTAGTTTTTTTTTAGGATTTGCTTTAAAAATCGAATCCACTTTGAACAAGAACCGTTAAGTAAATTACTAGTTTCTAGTGAAATCACATTTTTAACCATACTTTTTCAACATTAACAATAAATTGGTCACCGGACAATTAGCATTTTAAAAATATTTAATTATTTTATCTTATATTATATTATATACATTCCCTCCTCCATTTTATGCCCCATTCTTATCAGTTTTAGCTGACTTTCTTTTTTACAATTAAATGTTCTACGTGATTATTTATTGCAAAGGCTTTCTGCTTTGTTGATGTGGCCCTATCCAGGTTACTTTTCCACTGAGGGTGCCTGTGGGACACAGGCAAGGCCAAAACTTTAGTCCTCTTTGGATAAAAATACCTTTTTGGAGGCAAGGCTAAGTTAAATTCCATGTAAAATTAGGGTCTACTCATATTATAGTGGAAATTTAATTTGTCAATTTTTTATTAC